AAGCTGGGCAAGACCCGAATTGTGCGAGCTCTTCCTCAGATTTGTACTTGTCTCAAATCCGGATTGGAAGACCCCGGTCTCTGTGATGCTGCCTTTACCTCTTGGGCAGCTATGGTCAAGTCACTCAAGAAAGACGATTTGAGGCCCCTCGTTGACCAGACCCTAGCAATTATTGTCCGCACGTGGGATGCACTCGACACTCCATCACAACGGTTAGCATATGACTTTGTTGGAGATCTACTCAAAACCCACACAGATATCGTGCGAGATCAATTTGCCACAATGCCATCATTAGCTTCGATACCGACCATGGCCAAGTTCGAGTCCGAGCTAATGGCTCGGAAAAGCAAGCTGGATGAGCGTCAGCAACTCAATGCTTATATCCAGAGACTGCGAGACGAAAATATTGCCGTTGTCGAACAAACTTTGATTGAGTTGGCGCCATTCCTATACCACAAACAAGATCTTCTCCAGAGGTCTATCCTCAGGGAACAGCCTGATGAGTTCGTGGCCGAGTTGACTCGTGCATTACTGGATTGTTGCGTGAAGTTCAACACAAGCAACGAGGTCTCAAGGCTGTGTGGGCAGTGCCTGGGCAGTATTGGCTGCATGGATGCTAGCAAGATCGAAAGCCTGAGAGACCGGAAGATCATGGTCGTCAGTGGAAATTTTGCAATCGCTGATGAGGTTATCCAATGGATTTTCTTCTTCTTGGAGCACGTACTGGTCAAAGCCTTCTTATCTGCCAACACAACACGAGCTCAAGGCTTCCTCGGCTGGGCTATACAGCATTTTTTGAATGCTTGCAGGCAGAGTACGTCGTCGGATGAATCCGGCAACTTGGCCTCAACCCTATGGAACCAGCTGCCTGAATCCACCCAAAACGTATTGACGCCATTCATCAGCTCCAAATATACGGTGCAGGAGGTTCGGGCTCCTGAAAAGAGTCACTACCCTGTTTTCACACCTGGTATGAAGCACCGCGACTGGCTGCGAACCATAACATTGGACTTTCTTCACAGAAGCACGGGAGATAACGTCGAAATTATCTTCCCCATATGTTGCCGCATAATTCATGGTCAAGATGCTTCTATCCCAGCTTTCCTTCTGCCGTATACTATGGTCAATCTTATCGTTAGTGGCATAGAGCAGGACACTCAAGACATTATCGCCGAAATCAGTTCAATTCTCAGCCAGTCGCTGGACGATTATGATCGGAAAGTGCAGGACGACATCAAACTATGCAGTCAAACAGTATTTGAAATCCTTGACTACATGTCTACATGGCAGCAACAGAAGCGCAAACAATATGCCATGATCCTGGCAAAGTCAGATCGTGGACTCAATGATCTGGTCCTGGGCAAAGCTGCAGAGGAAATCCGCAGTATCGAGCGCGTGCTTGAGCAGATCCCGCCCGATGTGCTGGCTCGACGAGCGTTGGAATGCAAGTCTTATTCAAGAGCCCTGTTTCATTGGGAGCAGCATATCCGGAAATGCAAGAAGGACGACGTTGAAGCCGAGCTCCAGAGGTTGCAAGACATTTATGCACAGATTGATGAACCTGACGGGATCGAGGGTATTTCTTCTCGAATGCACGTACTGGATATCGAACAACAAGTATTGGAGCACAAGAAAGCCGGTCGGTGGACTGCTGCTCAAAGCTGGTATGAGATGCAGCTGGTCGCTTGTCCAGATGACAGTGATGCGCAAAAGAACTTGATGGCTTGCCTCAAGGAGTCTGGACAGTATGACGCCCTCCTTCACCACTTCAATGGTATTAAGAGCCGCAGCAGCAGTTCCACAACTTTACTGGCTCCTTACGCTCTTGAGGCCGCTTGGGCAACAAGCCGCTGGGATCTCCTGTCCAGTTATATTCCCCGAGAGATTGGACACGATTTTGCTTCGCACATTGCAGAAATCATACTAGCCGTCAATGCCAACGACGTGGCAAAGGTGACTCAACTGCTTTCGGAGGTGTTTCGCACCACCGCCTCTGAACTCAACCTCAACAATATCTCTTCATTCCAGGCCAGCCATGACACGCTCCTACGCTTGCATGTTCTCAATGACATGCAATTGATCGTCCAAAGTCCCAAAGAAGATCGTGCCGCCGTTCTGGACACCTTACGCGGACGTCTTGACGTGCTCGGATCGAACGTCGCCGATAAACAGTATATCCTGGGAATTCGCCGGGCACTGATGTCTCTCAGACCAGACATGTTCAGCTTGAACGATGTTGCGGCCGCATGGCTCTCGAGCGCCCGACTTGCGCGCAAAGCACGTTCAAGCACTCAAGCTTTCAACGCCGTTCTCAAAGCTTCTGTGCTCGGCGACAAGTCTGCAGCAATTGAACAAGCGAAACTGATGTGGTTGGAAGGACAGCACCGAAAAGCTATCCAAACTCTGGAAGGGGCCATTGAGTCAGGGGCATTCGTGGCCCATGATTATGTGGCTGAAAATGGACCAACAACAATGACTGTGGAACAACGCCACTCTCAGAACGAAATCACCGCGAAGGCACATGTTCTTCTTGGGAAATGGTTAGCACAGGCCGGTCAGACTCAATCGGAAGTCATTAGAAAAACGTTTAGAAAGGCAACAGAAACCTTCAGCAAAGGGGAACAAGGGTGGTACCACCTTGGCCGCTACTACAACAAAGTTCTGGACTCGGAAAGAACAATGCCCCCTGGCAAGGAGAGCCAGACTTATCTGACGGGAGAAACGGCGAAACATGTTATCGAAAACTACTTACGATCACTCCTCACTGGGAGCAAATACGTTTTCCAAGCCCTTCCGAAAGTGCTCACACTCTGGCTGGAGCTAGTAGATGGAGATCTTCCACGAGATGACCGACGAGGTAGCGCCGAGTTTCACTCCAAAGTTGCAGCGCAGCGAAAACGCATCATTGAGGAGACGAATAACCAGATCAAAAAGTACACTGACCGTTTGCAGCCGGTATTACTCTATACCATCCTCCCGCAGATTGTTGCACGTATATGCCATCCCAGCAAAATGGTCTGTGAGATTCTCAGCAGCATTGTGGTCAAGGTAGTGAGAGCGTTCCCCCAACAATCATTCTGGACGTTGCTGGCTGTGGTTGAATCACAACAGAAAGAGCGGGCACTGAAAGGTTTGAGCATCGTCAACAAGATCGTCGAGGTCGCGAAGAAATCCAGCAAGGACTCATCCGCAGCCGAGCTCAGGAGCATGTTCACCAGCGGCCAGAAATTCGTCAAAGAACTCCTTCGTGTCTCCGAATTTGAAATCAGGAACAAAGTCACGAAAATCAGCCTCGCCAGAGAACTAGGCTTCAACCACAAAATCGCCCCTTCGAAACTGGTGGTCCCCAACCAAACTTGCCTTATTCCCAGCATGCCCACAAGCTTCGAACCGGCACAGCTGAAGGCATTCCGTCCTTTCACGAAAGAACCCATCACCATCAGCGCCTTTATTGACGAAGCCCTTGTGTTGGCGTCTCTCCAGAAGCCCAGAAAGCTCACCATTCGTGGTTCTGATGGCAACCTGTACTCCGTTCTTGCCAAACCGAAAGATGACCTCCGCAAAGACCAACGGCTTATGGAGTTTAACAACATGATCAACCGCTGTCTTAAGCGGGACGTTGATGCTGCTAAACGGAGACTCTATATTCGCACTTACGCCGTTATTCCGATGAACGAAGAATGTGGCTTGATTGAATGGGTAGACAACCTCAAGACTTTCCGGGATATCATTCTCAAGCTGTACAAGGATAAGTCCATCCATCCGAACTACATGGAGATCCGGAATCTACTGGACGAGTCCTGCTCAGGAGATCCCGAGAACGCAAAGATCTTCACGGACAAAATTCTCAAGAAATTCCCCCCAGTGTTTCACGAGTGGTTCGTTGAGAGTTTCCCAGACCCAAGCGCGTGGTTCAATGCAAGATTGAGATATACGCGGTCGGCGGCGGTGATGTCGATCGTGGGCCACGTCTTAGGCCTGGGCGACCGGCATGGCGAGAACATTCTTTTTGAAGAAGACAATGGCGGGACTTTACACGTAGACTTCAACTGTCTATTCGACAAGGGCCTCACGTTTGAGAAACCCGAGATGGTCCCATTCCGGCTGACCCACAACATGGTCGACGCCATGGGCGCGTACGGCTACGAAGGCCCGTTTCGAAAATGCTGCGAAATCACCTTGACGCTCCTGCGATCCAACGAGGACGCCCTCATGACCATCCTCGAAACCTTCCTGCACGACCCCACCACGGACTTTATCAACGCGGTCGGACGCAAGAAGAAAGTCGTCCCGGGCGTGCCCAGCACCCCGGTCGAAGTGCTCGAGGGCGTCAGCGGCAAGGTCAGGGGCATGTTGCCGGGCGAATCGGTGCCCCTGAGCGTGGGCGGCTACGTCGACGAGATGATCAGCAGGGCCACGGACCACCGCAACCTGTGCAGGATGTACATCGGGTGGTGTGCTTTCTTTTGATCCCCCTTCCCCCATTGTCCTCGCTATCAGATTCCACGGGACAGCCGCGATCTGTTGTTGCTTCGAGGCAGATCTACCTCGCTAGCTATGAGCTGCCTTCATGTGATATGCAAGTGAATAGTGATGGCGAGGACCAGAGAATTGTGGCAAAACACAAGCCCCCAAGAGCTGTTTTAACAGTTCAGTTTCAGGCATTCGGACATTGTCGCGGAAGAGAGGAGCTAGCCACAAAGGCTTGGGAAACATTGTTGGATAACGCTTGGTCATTAAAGCATAGCTGTACAGCCACCTTGTCCTAAAGTATATAATGTATAGAAAGACAACAAAAGATCGTGTGGTATTTCCACAGCGAGCACTTCAGTATGCCATTGCTGGTCTCATGTCCGTCTTAGTGCACTCGCTGTATACCCAAGTTTCCCGCTCTCTAGACAAAACGAGTTCGATTCTGCATAATCACATCTATCCATCGCAACAACCATCATAACTTCGCGATGGATTTCGAAATCGTCAGGCTACGATCTTGTATCTGCTCATTCGTTTTGCACAGGCGACGACGAGAACATATCTCCGGCGTCGACACCCTGAGACTCTTCTTTTTCCTCCTCCACTGCTTCGATGCTGGTACCAGCAGCTCTGGATAAGTCCGCCTCGAGGGGGACAGGGACGTCTCCACTAGCGGATTCCCCAGTCTCTGGCATCCGGGCAGTGGCACTGGTGAGGTTTGATCTTGGTGGAGCAGAGTCCAGGTCGGCAAGGCCCTGAGAAAGTCCAAGACCGATTGGTGCGGTACCTTGCAGAGGGGAAGAGGAGAACATGTCCGCTCCATGGCTTTCATCCGGTCCATCATCACCAACGGCCGCCTCAGAACGCGGAGGAGTCGCTGCTCTGACCGTGCGTGGAGATCCTGCGGGTTCTCTGTTGGTGGTATGTTGCCGTGCTTCCTGTTCGGCGAGCAAGGCATCCAGGTCATCGTCCTGATCGATATTCCCCTCAGAGGCTCTAGAAGTCGCAGGGTCTTTGTGCTGCGTCGTCGACGCCTGTATGCTAGGTTGTATCCGTGCCTCTTGCTCTGCTAGCAAGGCATCCAGATCGTCCATGTCATCGTCATCATCGTCGTCGTTCCCGCTGAAGGGCGAGGGATTTAGCTTGGGCGCAAATGTAGGTGCTGACTGGGAGATTGGCTGAGGCGGAGGTGCACGCCTCATTTCTTGCTCGGCTAGTAAGGCATCGAGATCATCGTCGCCCTCGGAATCGTTGTCGTCTATTGGTTTCGAGACGGACAAGGGACGCGCTGTGCCACGTGTCTCCTGTTCGGCCAGTAGAGCATCAAGCTCGTCATCATCTGGAAGAGCACCATCATCGTCCCCGTCATTGCCCTTGTTGCGGACGTCTGGAACGAATAAAGAGTCATCCTCTGCGCCAATGCCAGCATTCGAAGCGTCTTGGCCTGCAGAAAGTTGATCTGCCGCAAACAGATTATCTGTCTCCTTATCTGCCTCCATCTCTTTCTCTGCTGCCTTCTTCGACTCCCTTTCTCTGATGTATCCCGGCTTGCCCTCATCAATCCACTCTTTCCTCATAACTTGCATGCGTCGACTGTGCCCGGCCTTCTCAATCAGTTGTAGTCCATCCGCAAACTTGGCTCGAGGATATAGATTATCGAGCCATAGCTGGTAGTAATTCAACAGCCGTGCGACGTCTGAGAACTCATGACCCTTTCCCTTCAGCCGCAGCCTTTTCGAGAACTTCCCAGAGCGAGCATCGGCGCGTAACTTGGGAATTCCTGGGGCCGAGAGGAGTCTCGCTTCGTCGAGTTTTGAGATGGGTTTCCTTTTTTTGGTGATTTTGACCTCTTCATCCAAACCCAGAGTTGCGTCGAGCGGGTCTATTGCTTTTCGTTTGGAATTGGGGCTCGACACTGGCTCATCATCACGGTCTCGCCGAGGTGGTCTGTCGTTGAAGCCATCTTCATAGTCAGAGTTGTCAAGGTTCAACAGGCTATCAACGGTAGCTGCGGTCAGAGGATCTGCTGCCATCTTGTAGTGATATGTTCGTGGTTACTCTGTGTTGTAAAGAGGTGGACAGCAGCACCAGCGTTCATTGCACTGAAGACGTGGGGAACGCGTTCACACGAGATTCGGACGCGTCGAGACTTCGCCGTGTAAAATACGTCATTTGAAATAAAAGGCTATTCCATTTTTGATCTAGTCCCTTGGCACCTCCAAAGCTCCGCATGCTCGACGAACCTCACGATTCAATGCTGAGGACTGCGTTCGAGTGAGCACTGTCGCTACAACCATGGCTGACGAGCAGAAGGTGTTTATCCCGCCCAAGCGGGTGGACACAGACTACCCGGTAAGGTGGAAGAACAACGGGATGCAGAATCAAGCTAATATCTACCTGTGACAGATCATCGACACAGACCCGTACGTTCCTCGTTCCTCGCACGTTTTAGAAGCTTCCCTCGACCTGTTACTGACACAATGATTCTTCAGTCACTGGAGAAGAGCATTCGGATATGCAAGAAGAGAAGACTGGTTATACGGAGCCGGAATGGCAGCCGTGGGTCCGGCTTTCATGCTCGTCACGGAACGCTACGCACCCTCGTTTTCCGGCAGAGGCGCATTCCCCATGGCCTTTCGACTCGGGTGTGCCGTTGGCCTGATAGCAGGTGCGGGATTGGTCTATCAAAGGAGTTGCTGTAGGTACCAACCGCGAGAACAAATTCGCGCACCGGAGTCGATGAGCATGGGCTGATGAAGATGGCGACGACAGTGAGGTTCTACGGCTGGACGGAAAACGAACGAGAAGTCAAGATGGACATGAGGGAGATGGTGGATAAAGTTAAGAGGGGCGAGCCGCTTTATGGGAAGTCAGACCTCACCCCGTACATGCAAGGTGTGGCGGCGCGGAACAGCAGATACTCGGCACTGATGGCAAATGTGGTACCATGGGCGAATTTTGTCAACCACAACCAGGTAAGAGTTGTTCCCTTAGATGATTGAAGGTATGACGAGCTGACACGTTCTAGCACGGTGTGGACACCGCCAAATACTATCAGCAAGCAGAGCGAGAGTTGGAAGCTGAGAGATTATCGAAAGGTGGCAAGTGAGACATGGAAGTTCCAAAAAAGACTTGAAACAGAGACGACAGGTCAAATCAACTGCAAGATCTGACTTGCTCATCCTCCCACGGATTGTACATAAGGGCACATCAGGTGACCAAGAAGGATGCCGGATACCATTCGGGGTCAACTGATGTGCAACTGAAAAAGACCTTTGAGACTTGACTTTCCTTTCCTTTTCAACTCTTCTTCTTTCCTCCAAGGTCTAGTATATATATACATATCCTGCTAATTTGAGTCCAGAATCTCCAAGGCTCGATGGCTGCTTGCACGATTCTTGTCCAGTTTCTAGATCTTTCAACACCAACTCGTTTTGTTCTGTCCTGTCACTTCACATTCCGGATAAGTTCCCAGGTTTGGCGACTTGTCACTTGTGAAATGATAATATCACCGTGAGCGCGCCAAGGAATTTGCTTCTACCAGCACTGAATCTCGCTCCCCTAAGTTTCGCTGCCTTAACCCTGGCTGTCTGTGAAGATGGACCTTTTGTTGTGTGTGTATCTTGTCAAATCGATCAAAGAAGACACTTGGAACTCTTCATCTCACACATACATCATCGTCTATCCAAGATGCGCGCGCAAACAGAAGAGAACCCGTGGGCAAAGGCCGATGTCAGCTACACTTCAGCCGTGTGGGGAGACAGTAAGTGCTATTGCTCTACATCATGGCGCGCTTTCATTAACTAGACTCTAGATGTCGCCGCCAGCCAAGTGTTCATTCTTCCGACTTTTGCGACCGGTGAAGGCACGCGCCAACTTCTGTCCATAACAAAGCAAGGCATCAGCGACCTCAGTGTCCAAAGCTGCGAACTCGCTCACGAGGCCAGGACTGCCGACCATGAACAATTCACCATCAAGTGCGCCGTAGTTGATGAGCACCGTCACCAGCGGCGAGCGCAGGGGTCTGAATCACAGACTTCCGACGTGAGAGTGCTCTCAGCAAAAATCTCCGCCTTGCGAATCATCAAAGATTTCGAATTTTACGCGGTGCTAGTTCAGCAGGCCCATGGTGTCGCAGAGCATTTGGTGGGCAAATTCGAGCAGTTGCAAAAGGTGGCACAGACGGTGCTCACCGAACAAGAGGAAAACGGCACCAATCTCGCAAAGACGCCCGAGGCTGTCAAAAAGCTCACAATCAGCATGAAATGCGTGGACTCCATCTGGGCCGACATCATCGCATCATGGAAAAAGCTCAAGAGATTGGACAGTGGAATTCAGAAGGGCAAGACGACGTTGCCGCCGCTCCGTGATAACCTGAAGCTCATCGGGATCAACATGACGGGTGCAGAAGAGCGCGATAGCCCTGCACTAGAAGGAGGAGATCAAGATAATTCAGTCGCCGACAGCGAAGCCAAAGTTGTTCACAAAGCTACCCTTGAGGAAAGCCCGATGGAAGAGACGGGTGACGCCACCGAACCGTCGTCATCTAACGGCCGCTCTCTCTCCGGTACGGATACCATGGGAGCGCTGATCGAAAAGTTTGTCGAGAAGTGCATGATCAGAGATGCCCGACACTATGCCAGCGAGGATGGCAACGACGCGAATCTTAGCACCCCAGCACTGAAAGATTCGGATTCCGACAAACCAAATCCCAGTAGCGAGCTTGTCAACACCGAGGGCACCCAAGGGGAGGTGGAAGACGCCACTGTGGCTGATTCCGGGGCAGATGGCGAGGAAATCGCAGTGTCGAGCGAAGGGGGTGATGAGGACGACAGCGATGAGCTCGATATCATCTGCAGCGAGCCTTCATCGCCGGCTAAGCCTGCGCCGGAAGAGCGTTAGGTGGACAAGAGTGCAGAATAACAAGACCCTCGAGTGGATGTGGCCATGAATAACGTCAAGCAGGAAAGAGCAACGTGGAGTTTAGGCTGGTGCTCAAGACAAAAAGAATATTTATTCATGAGTCCAATCCATAGGGAGGATAGGCAATAATATACAATGAATCAGTAACTATGGATAAACGTGCGTACCAGCCCGCTACCTGATTGCGCCTCTCTTCAACGTCTAAGGAGTTCTGTGAGCCTTGCATAGCTACCTACGCACGTTGCCTGGTCGCTTGTTGTTGTCGTTAGTTTCGTGGCGTGGACGAGGCTGTGCGGTTACCTAGTTTAATAAGGCTGCGCCTCGTTCAGTCTCAGGAAACGCTTCACTTCCTCCTTCCTTCTCAAACATGATATCCCTCCGGTCATCTCGCCTTATACTTCCAGCCTCTGCTCCCCAAGCCATGGCAGACCACACCGCTCATGTTATTGTGCGTGACCCGGAAAAGGAGCATCAAGAACGGCTGCGTTCCATCCAGAATTATCAGTATGTTTCAGCGGAGCAGAGTCCAAACCATGCCTTCTGCGCTCGGTGCAAACTCATCAACTTTGATGCAATCTTCAAAGTACTGGAGACCCAGTCAGACTCACAAGGGACTGCGGTCGCCGACATTGGCAACCTCAATCGGACGATGTTAACCGCGACTTGCCCCTGTTGTGTCTTTTGTGCACAAATTGTCTTCCTCAACAAGCCGCAATATCCTTTCGACGAGGTTAGTAGAGCCTACATCGAGGCACGGTCTTGCAAGAAGGACGCAAACAATCAAGATGGAACGAACCAAGGGCCCTGTGGCTCCTATCACAAATGTTTGAAGCTCCGTTGGTCTGGCCCAAATTTAGGACCATTTGACAATTGGAGAACTGGACCTATATCAGAACACCTCATCTTTCCAGCTGGCCAGAAGACAGGTAGTGCATGGGCTTTTGGAAACACCACAGCAAAGGCACGACATATTGATCCCAACACCATCGAATATGGCCACATCGTTGATTGCCTGCGACAATGTCGGTCTAGCCACACAAGTTGCAAGAAACTAGACCCTGAATTGACTGTCAAGACAAGGTTGATCAATTGCCGGACAAACCCTCCAAACCTTATCGATGGCTCGACGGACATGGACTATTTTGCGTTGAGCTATTGCTGGGGCCTTGCGCAGCCTGGTGTGACACGAAAAGCGTATACAGCGGTCGGAGCCTTGGAGGTAGCATTGCTGCCCCAGACAATAAGAGATGCCATTGTTGCCACTCATAAACTGGGGTGTGATTATTTATGGGTTGACGCAATCTGTATCAATCAAGACGATGCAATCTCCAAACAGGTCCTTATCAACAAGATGGACTATCTGTACAACAAGGCAGACCTTGTCCTCGTTGCTCTGGGAGACGATTCGCAAACAGGGCTTCCTGGAATCTCGACACCCAAATTCACACAACCTGCTCTCAGAGTCGGTGGCACCAAACTAGTCTCAAACATGTCTGAACTGCGCGGGCTGTTACAAGGCTCCAGGTGGAGTAGTCGAGGCTGGACATATCAAGAGGCGCTACTGGCTCGCAGATGTCTTTTCTTCACTTCTGAGCAGTGGCATTTTGTGTGTAAAGCTTCATCAGCTTATGAGACTTTGGTGGAAGATCTGCCAAAATTTGACGACTGCCGATTGGATCTTTATGCATTACGGTCGACGCTGTTTCGGACAGGAGCAACCAATGCGCATGATCTCGAGATTACCGAAGATATTCGGGAATATACAATCAGGGACTTGTCCTTGGACGCTGACTTTCTCAACGCATTTCGGGGAATTTTGCGTAGGAGTGGGTTACATTCTTTGTGTGGAGTTGCCGCATTGAAACCAAAGAACTGCCGTTATGTACATCAGGACCTCGAAAGCGGATTTGCTCTGGGACTCTATTGGGCTGCTCAAGATCGCCATTTAGAGAGGACAGCAGGTCCAGGCCCTCCGCGCACTACCCGTCGCCCTGGCTTTCCCACATGGTCGTGGCTATCGTCACGCGGTGTGATTGAGACGACTTGGAGTAATCCCCAGGACTTCATATCAAACTTCTCAGGGATAGATGTCCATGCCTCCTTCAGCGTGCTGGACAATAGTGGTATCGCGACGCCTTTGGCCACCCTGTGGCAGAACGGTGCCTCAGGGGGTCTCTTGGACAAATTTCTGGAATTACAACCGGGCCAGCATCTTCAAATTACCAGTTATATTGTCAAGGTCCGGTTCATGAAACCGACTCAGGCCGTCATGTTCCAAGAATACTGGTTCGTCTTGGACGATCCACTTGTACTCTTCCCGGACGATACTTGCGATCCCTCCACCCACAAGCCGTCAGCGTTCTACTCGGCAACCTTCAAAATCCCAACAGGGGAACCTCGGAAGATTCACGATCAGGAAAGCATTGGCTTTGACGTGGAAGCGTTCTCTGACCCCGGCCTCCGTGCGCGCATCCTTGTGGACGAATTCGAGTTATTGTTACTGGCTTCCCACGGGTATGAAGAGCGACAAGTGAATTATTGGATCATTTTGGACGAAGAGAATGGGAGAAGGAAGAGAATTGGGACTGCCTGCTGTAGTGGTCACAGATACACGGTCGCCGATCCCAGTCAGCAGGGTAAGCCTTATAAGTCCCCCCACGCTGATCATCCATCCGAGTCTCCTCACGACTGCATCTTCCTTCCAAAAAAAACCACCATTACCATGGTGTAGACGTCAGTCAATCGTCGATCCTATCTGCTTTTCGAGCTCTATCTTGAACTGTTCTACAATCTTCCTCAGGGCTCCTACCACCCGCAAGTTTGCGCATGAATTGAACAGTGCTTCTGCTCTGGCGTCTGCCTCAGTCCAATCGCTGTCCAGATAAGCGTCTTGCGCCGTTCTAGACCTCTTTTTCGGACTGTGATAGGGATAAATGATGCCAAAGCGTTTCAAGAGCTGAGTGAGGTTCTCCTTGGTGCATCTGTGGAGATCTTCAATGGCACTGCGGAGCGAGTGGTTGGCACTGTTGCTGGAGTCCAATGAATCCAACGCCAAGGCGGACAAATGATATTGGACAACATTCTCGACCTCCTGGATCGCTTGGAAATAGAGGTCTCCGTTGTGAAAGTGACGGACCCCTGTCTCACTTAGGTCTGTTGCACTTGACGGGAATGTCATATCTGCAAAGGAAGCTATATTTGAGCTCATCTCGTCGTGCTCCCTCGAAGCCTTAGAGTAAGCCCTGCAGATTTCCCTAGACCCTAGGTGCATGACGCAGGCAGGTATATGTCCGTCTCTAGCTTTCTTCAGGCACCTTTCACGCTGCAAGACTGCCCTTCTCAGTTGTGACTTCTGCCAGGCGACGCTGGGAGTGTCAGAGATCCAGGTGGTCATCAGCCCAGCTTCGTGGCCGATGACATTGTTCCGCGAGAAGACCACCTGCTTGATTTGGCTGTTGAAGCTGACGGCCTTTTTGGTCGAAACCACTCGAGAGACTTGGTCTGATTTGGACCCCCGGCTCGTGCCCAGACCAAGGTGAGCCTCATCAACCCCCGCCATATCACTTGCCTTTAACGCCGACGGCCTTTCCAGCTGAACCCGTGGTGGGTTGTTTACTGTTTTAAGGCCTGGGTAGCAATAGCATACACTACCAAGGCCGTCATACTCACAGGGCTCAACCCCAAATGCGGCTTGGTGACTTCTTTTTGTGCCACGAGGTGTCCTATCGGCGATGAAGGCCGCGTTGGAACAGGCCACTCCCGTCATTGCTTTGGCAGCGGCGGGATCCCCAACAGGATTTCGGGGAGTGGTGTTGATGTTGGATGTGTCCATGGTGGAGGTGCGGGAAGTGGAAACGGAGCCCTTCTCGGAGGTAAAAGGTAGCAGGCGATGATAGTGTGTTGCTTGAGGTGTTGGATGAGGAAATCTGAATTAAGGCAGATGAATATGGAGAGCGCCATGCTGCGAGTAGAGGCATCGACTTATGTGGGAATATCTGAGGACCTGCCATGCTGGGCCCATGTTTCTGGAAGTCCTCTCCAGAGTTTTCCCCGTCAACTATCTGAGCAAATTTGTTCCTCCTTTCCGCAGCCATAGTGTCGATGAGGACTTGCAGTCCAGTGAACAGGTACGCGTTACGTGTTGGTTCCAAGGGGCTGTAAGTCGAAGGTCAACAAACAAGGCTGGAATGTCCCGAAAAGGAGAGTCGACGTCACAAGGCCGCGGCCCCCTTAAAAAGTCCAGTTTGTCGAGGAAGGTGGTCCGAGCTCACTTGCGGACAAGTTTCATGTTCGACACGTCTACAAAGAGACAATACAGTATACCTTCAGCCCATGGACTGACTGTTCTCACGCGATCCCAAGATGATATTGAGGTCAGAACTACTCGTACTTTCTCAATTACTCGTATCCCAGGCATGGGCGGCAGAAACAAGGGCCTCTGAGTCTTCACGGCCCAGAGGCGTCGGTCCAGAATGTAAGAAACGACTCTCGATCTCTACACACCCCATATCCATGCGGTTCCCCCTCAATCTGGATGGTTTTTGCTCTCGATTGGTTTCAGACAGCTAAGAACTGAGCCATGTGCTTCCGCAGTTGCAAAATTCTACAAGAGTGCGCCGTCAAATATATTCACATGCATCTCCAACCCCTCGATATCCATCCCCTTCTCCCGCGTCAACGACGACTTCTGCGACTGCCCCGACGGCTCAGATGAGCCGGGCACATCGGCCTGCTCCTACCTCTCCCCTTTATCCCCTCCACAGTACCACCCGGGCCCTGACACACCCGCCAGCGTCTCGATAAACAGTACACTTGCCCTACCAGGGTTCTACTGCAAGAACAAAGGCCACATCCCCGCATATCTGCGGTTTGAGAGTGTGAACGATGGCAAATGCGACTATGACGTGTGCTGTGACGGGTCGGATGAGTGGGCCAATGTCGGGGGCATCAAGTGCGAGGATCGTTGCCAGCAGATCGGCAAGGAATACCGCAAGACGGAGGAGACACGCCAAAAGAGCCTGAGGGCCGCGTTGAAGAGGAAGTCCCAGCTGACGACGGAAGCGGAGCGGCTCAGGAAAGAAGTCGAGATCAAGATCGAGGACGCCCAGATCAAACTCAAGGGGTTTCAGATCCATGTCAAGGAGGCGGACGAGAATCTGAAAGAGGTGGAGAGAAGAGAGAAATTAAAGGCTATACGAGGGAATGCCAGTGGAAAAGGTGGTGGTAAAGTCGGGGTTCTCGTCGGGCTGGCGAAATCGCGGGTGGACGAGTTGAGGACCCATTTGGAAAAGACAAGATACCAGAGAGACAGCATGGTCGCTCGGATTACGGAATTGGAAGGCATTCTCGCCGCGCTCAAGGACGAACATAACCCCAACTTCAATGATGATGGAGTGAAACGTGCTGTTCGCGGGTGGGAAGATTATGCCGCGAGGGAGACTGACGATGGCTGGACCGAAGCCGAAGACCGTGACCTTGACGCTGTTCTCACAGAGGACAGTGAGACAAACGGGATCAACTGGGCTGAGTTCGAGAACGACCTATCCGCAGAGGCCGAGGCGGAATCAGACGTGGCAGCTCTCTACAGATTCAGCGCCTACTTACCGCCGTCGCTCCGTCTATGGCTCGACGAAAGTATTTCCTCATTCCGCAAGATACTTGTGGAGAACGGCATATTAGCTGATACGTCCGTCGACTCCTCTGCCGCTACTCAAGAGTCCAAAGCCGTGCAGGATGCGAAAAAGACTCTCTCCGATGCAGAGCGGGATGTACGCAATGCCGAAAACGACCTACAGCGATTCCGCGAAGACCTCGAAAAGGATTACGGTCCCGAAGGTGGCATATTCCGCGCGTTGAAAGACACGTGCATTTCCAAGGACAGCGGCGAGTATGAGTATGAGCTGTGTTTCATGGGGTCGACCAAGCAAAAGCCCAAGAAAGGAGGAGCACATACGGGAATGGGCAATTTCGTCGGCTTTGACACGGAATATGTCGACGAGCCCCCAACCACGGATGGAAAGGGGCTCGGTACGGGCGAGCGGTTGGTTATGAAGTACGAAAACGGTCAGCATTGTTGGAACGGACCGAACAGGAGTACGAGGGTCATTCTTGCCTGTTCGGAGAAGGAGGAGATCTGGAAGATTAGTGAGAGCGAAAAGTGCGTTTACCGCATGGAGGTTGGCACGGCCGCGGTCTGCGAATCACCTTCGAAGAAGAATGGCGGCGGTGGCAGCAGTGGTGCTGGGGTTGATGAGACCAAGAAAGATGAACTGTAAAGTATTGGGGGTTTCTTTTGGCTTTCTGAAAAAGAAAAAGCAAGGGGTTTTTTACCCGAGTAGATACGGATCAATTGGATGCGCGAGATTTTGTCACAACCCAAGACAAATAAATGCTTAACATCAGCATCTAACATATGCCCTTTTCTGACTGGTCCCTATCTCATTGGGTTTCGAATGGAGAATTGTGAGTCCCCTGTCTGTTATCATGCAAGAAGGGGCGGGAGAAGGGATAAGAGATCGCTTTGTTTATATGTCTGTCGTACAGATGCAAATGTGAACGAATAGGCTTGTTGGTGAGCACCCTCTGGCTGGGAATGGACAGGGATACGACTGGTACGGTCAAGGTGAAAGAACAAGAACAAAAGACGAATTGAGTGTTGCGGTAAGAGGGATTGCCATGCTATTTTCGTGGGTTGTATATCTAAAAGAAAAAGGCCTTGTTTGAGTCCTTGTCCTGCTTTCTGCTATTCACAATGTCGGTCCCTCCTTTTTCCGTGACATACAACTCCCACGCATTGATGCATACGGGGCACCAAACCGGGAGCACCGCTGCAAAGTCCAAGGTCTCCCCTTTATGCCCAATCAAGGAAAAAAGGGGGGAGTGCAGTTGTGTAGATGATGGCAGCGCCAGAATGAGGGAACCTCCATCCAAGATGCGGGATCTCGTGATGGATACTTACATGGGCGGTCAAAGTGATCAGTTTTTTCACTGAGTCCCAGAGTCGGATCACATCGTCAAAGAGCGCAGGAAAGGTCCCGAGGAACAAGACCCCCGACGGACAGGCCCTGTATGGTTTCAACTTTAGGCATGAAGTTAGCATGTGCTCGAGAAGCTCGTCTTCCAAGTAGGAAACTTACCTGCCTAGAGGAAGAGTGAAAGATAGGGGCAGCCATGAAAAAGCTTGTACAGAGATAGTCAATATAGGCCTTTTCATGGCTGCCTCTATCTCAGCTCCCCACCCTAGAAGGTAAAAAAGTTTGCCCACAGGAAACAGGAACTTCCCGAGCACAATGCTAATCTCATGCCTAACCTCTCATTGATGGTGTGAAAGACGGGATCTTCACTGTGACGTCGACATCTTGTCGGACACGCATTGAATTTGGTGGCAGCGACGATATTGGCCATCAGCCGTTCCTCGTGCATGCTTGCCGGGTTGGATAGATCGCCATGCTGCATCGGCCTGCAGGGCTGCGTCGCTTCTTGGCAGGTGAATATGACACCATTTCGTGAGGGGTTTGGGCCAAAATTGAACGAATATCATGAGAAATGGTAGGATATGAGAGGATGCGTCAGAGCTAACGAATGTGAGAGAGGGACAATGAATAGTTATAAGTGTGAAATGCTGGCGACAACGTGGACGACAAGATCCTTCTTATACCTGTCAAAAGCAGCGGCGGACCTGGCCCTGCGACCTTACCCGAAACGGCACAACCACCACCGCAGCAGGCGAATTTCATCTCCCAGCAATTACTTTTGCAGGGACACAAAACGCCAGATCTGGCCGAACAGGGTCAAATCTGGTCAAATCCGGCCGACAGGTGGCGCCGCTTTTAGTGGGCTTCGTCCATGCGGAGATCAGCACCCCCTCTCTTGTCGGAAGTCCGATGGCGCTAGGTCAGGGCTTAGTGCACCATATTCTACGGTGATTGGGTGGGCTCTGGAGGGGTCTGGGCCGTCCCGGAGTTCGGATCGTGTACTTGTACGCCGCATTGCTGGTACCGAAGCACTTGGCCCTAGCGCAACTTCAAAGAGGACGACACCATGACAGAGAGCTGGGACTGATCCTCCCAACCCCCCCTTTCTCTAGCAAGAAACTGCTTGGATCTCATTACCGAAAGAGTTTTATTGTCAAGCAAACAAACCACTGAGTGTTTCAGTCACGATTACTGTGACAGTTGCCAAATAGCTGACAATGAAAATGATGGTGCAGTACCTGGTCCACAGAGCCCCCTGTCCTACCTACGCAGGTCATCTTCCTCGGATATTGTCCGCATTCCCCGCTATTTCATGCGCATCCGAGATGTCATGGTGCCCCAGATATCTGTCATTCTTGCCAAGCGCTCCTTACAACCAGCCCGCAAATACTGACCAGTACTATACCATAATCTTGGTGTCAACATCCTCGCCAGAAAGATCTGCGATGATGCTTCATCCGCTTTCAATCATACGCCCGGAACTCATGTCCATGCCATACTGTGCCCTGTCCACCAGCAACACGACAAATTGAAAAGACGGGGGATATTGTCGTCGTTGGTGTCCTGCCGTACACTCCACCTCCAACAGTGCGGGTCCAACATCCACTCAAAGACGCGACAAAAAAACGGGGACATAGTACCAAATCTCCGCCTACGGGTGTTTATCGACCAGAACGGCCTTTTGGATGATATTGCAGAGCGTGTTCGGATCGGGAGATAGTCGCATTCATGGGATTGTTGTCCGAGATGGTGGCAATGAGACGGTGATTGACCTGAAGGTGATGTGCAGCTCGGCTGAAAACACCAAACAGACGTGGACCTAACTGTCAGTGCTTTTTACTTTGCTTCTCCTCCACGTTTTGCTAATTCCCGGGATCGACGGTGGAGGTATCAAAGTGTGAAGAGGCAGTCAAAGCTGTTTTGGGGGGTCCGACATCAGCGCTCACTCAGCTGGGCAGATCTTTGGACTTTGACGTGGTCTGAGAGCCCATCGGATGGAGTGGAGTGAGCGAATACAGTGGACCTAACTTGCACACCTGGGCTGACCCAAAGAGTGCAGCCGTACTCGCCGATTACTCAGTCTTGATACTGAGGAGTTCTCAATAATACTTCATTGCAGAGTCCACGTCCTATGATCTCCGCATGTCGGACATTTGCCAGGAGAAAAAGATCCCTTGGGAAGTGGCACGAGAAGGATGAATGGATATGCCCCATCCAACACTCAGCCAAAACTTGGTGAATCCCGTCAAAACATTCCACTGAAAGCGGCATCAACATCAGCGTCCACAATTCATTGGATGTTGAATGCCCCCCGCCATCCGCCAATCAGGGCACTGTTCACGTAGTGGATATTATAGTGGATGCTCTGACGGTCCTCGGATCGCATACCCATAATCCCCAGCGAAGGGGTTCTGCAAGGTGACACCGCTCACTCACTTCACAACAGCAGTAGCAGGCCTGATCGGCACCGGAATTCCATATCTTTTTTTTTTCTTTGCAATCCTGTCCACCGCAGCAGAATGTGGCAAAGAGTATTTGCGAATCAATCCCCTTTTCAATTGCTTGAAGCTGGCGAGCCCGACTCCCGAGAACAGACAGACATACCGTCCATGACCCATGATATTGAGCCCCCTCGGAAGCCAAAAAGTACCAGTGCCACCCGATCAGACTCCCCTACCGAGTACAAGCATTGACGCTGCTTCACCGTGAGTCGAGGGCGCAACTCTACAGATGGATACAGATATGCTTTTCCCCCCCTGCCGCTTGCCACTGGGGTAAAAGGGTCTGGTGACATACATGTCTGAACTTTGTGGTATGTATCTATCTATCTACGTATGCATCTGTGACTCTAAGCTTGACTTGACCCCTTACTTAGTGCCCTTGGTCCTTGGTCCTTGCCTTGGAGGCGTTGAGTAAAAATGGTAAATGTCTCTTGAGGCCCCTTGCTTGCGTAAATCCCGACTCCCGACACCCGATATACTGTGTGAGAAACTCCCTACCAATTAAGCTTTCATAGCGCCCACGACGGCTACCAGCCAGCCGTCAGCCATGCCGTGGAAGAGCCGATGTTCCTGTTTTCCCGTTCACGGGGTACATGGTACCAAAGTAGAGAGGTCCACTCACGCATACATCACACACTACATAGCTGTCCATGTATATGCGATCTACGAGTACCACTCCGTAGGGATCATCTCCTGGAATCTGCATGTTTCCGGACATTGAAACCCCGCCCGATATCTTTGTTTTCTCCTGAGAAGAGAATGGATGAACAAGTCTAGCAAGGAGGAATGCGGGGGGTGGGTTGCCGTGTCGGTTAATCACCGTTAAGGTTTATGCAGGGTGTCGGAGATGGGACTCTATATCTTGGAATATGTGCCTTGTCACAGCATCATATCCAGCCATCCGAAGGTTCAAGCCACAAACTCCAAAAGTCCGTTCACCCCTGCGAAGGCCTGGGGCCCCTGCCGATCCCTACCCGCAAGCCACCTCGATTTGGTCCAGGGAGGCATCAATCCATGGGCCCAAAGGAGATGGAGCACTGTACACTTTGCACTGTACTGTCGAGATGTAGTTGATGGCTGGGTCTGCTTCTTCATCCCAGCCCGTCCAAAAAGGTATATAACTCATGTCCTCTCCCCAGCTCTGACATTCCATCTTCATCCTCTCCAACATTCATCAGAACAGCCTTCATCAGACAATTCAATCTTTTTCCAACCACACTCATTTATTCTTTTCGAAAAGCCCACGCTCATTTCGCAACTTTCCAACAAAACCAACAATGTATACTCTTATCCTCGTCACTCTTGCCGCCACTGGCGTTTTCGCCGGCGTTCCCATGAAGGCTCGCGGCATGGACAGCGGAAGCGAGTTGACTGTCGACCAAGCCGCCAACCAGTGCGGTAACGGCCAGGTCATCTCCTGCTGCAACACCAGCACCTCCAGCGGCGACGTTGGCGGCCTCCTCAGCGGCAGCTTGAACGGTCTCCTCGGTGGCAGCTGCAGCCCCATCCCGGTCAACGGTTAGTTTCCATCACTCTTTATAACGGGCAAACATGTACTGATGTTTCTTTCTCTAGTCCTTGGCGTCCAGGTCCCTCTCCAACAGGCCTGCGGTAACAACCAGGCTGCTTGCTGCACTGGCGACCAAACCGTAAGTCATCTCTGCCAGCAAGCCATTCACAACAGCCACCTAACATCGCTCAGGGTCTCGTCAACGTCCAGTGCACTCCCATCGGCCTTTAAGCGCCTGACACCAACGACGTGGTTCCCTTTCGACGACAGGGCCGCGATAAGCTCAAACA